TTCTGATAGCCTACTGGACAAAGGTTCCACCCAAAGTTTAGCACAACCAATACCGAATTGTATTCTCCCTGCTCCCAAACCCATAACTCCTGTCAGTGGACTGCCCTTCTCTTGGCAGCCTTGGCTCTACTCCGCTTCCTCTCTCCCTCCGCAGCTCATCGTGACATCCTATCATTTCTTCCTTCAGCACATCGATATCATGCCCTGGTAACATGAGTTTGGGGTCGGAAACTTAGGCGCATCAGGTAACTGAGCTCTCCATATCTCACTTGCCTTATTTCTAGCATAAAGTTAAAAATACATACCAGAGCCAGGCTCGGTGGCTCAGTCTGTGGTCCCGCGCTTTGGGAGGTTGAAGTGAGTGGATTGCCTGAGCCCGTGGGTTTGAGACCCGCCTGGGCAACTTGGCGAGACCTCATCTCTACAATAAGTCAAAAAATGAGCCGGGTGTGGTAGCGCGTGTCTGTAGTTCCGGCTACTTGGAAGGCTGAGGCAGAAGGATCGTCAGAGCCCAGCAGGTCGAGGCTGCGGTGGCCGGGAGCGGCCACTGCACTCCAGTCTGGGCAACAGAGTGAGATTCCAACTCAAAAAAAAAAAAAAAAAAAAAAAAAATACCAGAATTATCTTGACGATCACATGATCTAATGCACAAAAGAACCTAATAGCATATAACAAATTCTCACCATGTGTTATCTTCCCTGCCTTCCATTTTCATGGCCAAAATTATAGTAGTGTCCCTCGCAATATCTCATTTAAATGACTGCACTAATTTCTAAATTCTGTTGACAGTTCGGTACTTTTACTAAAAGACTAAGCTCTTTCAAGGTCAAAGACTTCTGTGTATTTATATTAGCTTTCTCTAAAGCACACTGCATGAACAGTGCTTTATCTAAAGCATGTTGCATCAGAGAAAATTTCTTCAAAAAAATTAAAATGATTATCTTACCTGAAAGTCTGCTGTAGAATGAGAATTTATTTTCAGTATAATAAGTTATTCAAGGACCCTCTTAATTTCAGTATTGCCCTTTATATGATCTTTATTAAATGACTCCAAATACTTAGTAGTAATTTGCATGACTGTCTTAGGTGTGAGAGCAATGTAAGGCGTCATTTCTTAGTTCTCCTGTTTCTTGAAGAGGTAAACCTCTCAAAGATGTTGTCTATTAGCTTCCTAGGTATTGCTCACCTTCACTGGAGGGCAGTATTGTCAATAATCAAGCTCTAGACTAATTTTATTTTCTGAATGGCTTTTGTTATAGTTATTAGTTTATGTGTAAAAGTAATATGGAAGACTGGAATGTGTCATGTACGTAGCACCTCCCTTGCCCTAAGACGATGGTTCTCAAACTTCTGCATGTATATGAATCACCCCACACCTGTGCTATCCAATACAGTAGCCACTAGCCTAGCCACGAGGTAATTAAAATATACGGCCCAAATTAAGATATGCTATAGCCAGGCGCAGTGGCTCATGCCTGTAATCCCAGCACATTGGGAGGTGGAGGCGAAAGGATTGCTTGAGCCCAGGGGTTTGAGACCAGCCTGGACAAATGTAGAGACCTCGTCTCTACAAAAAATTAAAAAATTAGCTGGATGGTGGCACATGCCTGTAGTTCCAGCTACTTGGATCGCCTGAACCCAGCAGGTCGAGACTGCAGAGGCTGTGAGCATACCACTGCACTCCAGCCTGGGCGACAGAGTGGGACCCCAACTCAAAAAAAAAAGATATGCTGTAAGTGTAATATGCACACTAGATTTCATAGACTGCAGACAAAAAAATGAGAAATATCTCAATAACTTTTATATTATTTATGTGTCAAAATGAAAATATTTTGGTTATATTAGGTTAAATAAAATACATTAGTAGAATTAATTTCATGATTCTTTTCACTTTTTAAAAATGTAGCTAAGCCAGGCTCAGTGGCTCAGCCGGTAATCCCGCGCCTTGGGAGGCTGAGGTGAGTGGATTGCCTGAGCCCGCGGGTTCGAGATCCACCTGGGCAACTTGGCGAGACCTCATCTCTACAATAAATCAAAATGAGCCGGGCGTGGTAGCGCGCGCCTATAGTTCCAGCTACTGGGAAGGCTAAGGCGGAAGGATCGCCGGAGCCCAGCAGTCGAGGCTGCGGTGGCCAGGAGCAGCCACTGCACTCCAGTCTGGGCGACAGAGTGAGACTCCAACTCAAAAAAAAAAAAAAATGTAGCTAACACATTTAAAATTACATATGCAGCTTGAATGTGTGGTTCATGTTACCCTAGTGCCTTTGATGCTTGTTTAAAATGTTGATTCCTGGGTCCCACTTTTGGAGGTTCTGCTTTGGTAGTTCGAGACTGGGGCTCAGAAATCTGGCATTTTCAGCTCATCATGTTTTAAGTGTTAAGTCAGTGTGGGGAATCATTGTTTTATATGGCCTTTGACAGTGATTTTGATTGTCTTCAGCACAGCAGTGATTCATAGATAACAAAGACTATATTAGTTCTCAGTTTCAACTGTGTAATAATTACCAACCCATAATCGTCATACCTGTGTTTTTCAATTAACACAACACTCAGTCTTCTTGTGGAAGTAGAGGGGCGGTGAGAACAATTAGCCAACATCACACATTTAAATACATACAACCTTTGACTTTAATTCTTGAAATTGATCTTGCAGATAAGTTCTCCAAGCTCACTGTGCTATATCTGCAATCACCTCAGCACTGTTTGAAATAGTGAAAAATTGGAAATCGATTAAATATATACACCTAACTGAATACTACACAGGCTATAAAAGAGAACAAGGTCATTTATATGTACTGATACAGAAAGCTGTCTATACTGCTTATAAAAAGGAAAAGCAAATTACAGAAGAGTATATCGATCCCACTTGTAGATGCAAAATTATGTACATATATTTGTATTTGCATAGAAAATTTCCAAAACTGTTAACAGTGGTTACTGCTGGAGAGTAGAGTTGGGCAGAAGATTCCCAGGAATGTGGAAAGGCACTTTTACTTTGCTTCTTATATCCTTTGGTGCTGTTTTAGATGTGTGTGTGTGTGTGTGTGTGTGTGTGTGTGTGTGTGTTTCTCTACTGTAAGCAATACACATATTATACTGCATGTTGCAAAACAATATTTAAAAATGACATAATGCCCAGCCAAGTAAATGCTTCATCATTTATGTTCCCATTAGAGAAATGAGCTCTTCACTTTTACCTTTCTTTTTTTTTTTTTTTGAGTTGGAGTCTCACGTCGCCCAGACTGGAGTGCAGCGGCCGCTCCCGGCCACCGCAGCCTCGACCCTGGGCTCCGGCGATCCTTCCGCCTCAGCCTTCCGAGGAGCCGGAACTGCAGGCGCGCGCTACCACGCCCGGCTGATTTTTTGATTTATTGTGGAGACGAGGTCTCGCCGAGTTGCCCAGGCGGGTCTCGAACCCGCGGGCTCAGGCGATCCACT